GGTCATGAATCTGCAAACAAATTCATATTTCTTCATCCTTGAAACGCTGACTTTTTGGAGCCACCTGAACTCCTCTGTTCTCCCTGGAGATGTCTCCACCCCTGCCTCACAACAATACAGGCCCTGGGACCTCTGCATGAAGAGGAGTCTTTGTTCACAGGGAAGAATGCTCATCTCACTTATCCTCTCCTCTTTTCTCTGACCCCCTCAACAAGCCGGTTTGGAATGTGCTGGTTTGAGTGTGCACTCTGACTGTTATCCAAATGGTCACCAAAGCATCTATCTACACTTTATTTTCATTTAATAAGCAGATGAGAGCCGATAGCCACTGAGTGAATGTCTGTGTGTGTGCTCACGTGTGCTCAGATACTGCAATGAGGTACAGAGGAGCCTCTTGTGGGCAGCAGTAATGGACTTGGTGCAGACAGTTTGAGACCGGCCACTTGAGCAACACTCTGGTGTACTTAAAGCTGGAGCAAAAGCAGCACAGAATGAAACACAGGCAAAACCACATCCTAACATTTACCATCCATATTTCTTTAAAGGAGCAGAGAGAGGTGCATTCTGTACATGGACGCACACATGCATACTGACACATTCAAGGTCAAGCATACATTACACTGCAGAAAATAGAGTATGCATATGCATGAAGATGGATCCATAATGTGTCTGATTCCCACTTAAGTTCAGTCGATTTATCACAATTAAAAAGTTCATCAACTCAACCATCATGTGTTCAATATGCTGCATAAAAAGAAATCCCAACATTTACAACAATACTGACTTTGTTTTTGAAGGACTTTTTAAAAAAAAGAGTAATGCAAACATGCAAACACACACACTGTCACTCTCTCTCTCTCTCTCACACACACACACACACACACTTCAACTATGCACATTACCTCTCTGAGCTGGGTGAGCCCTGATGAAGTGCTCTTGGAGTAGTCTCTCATTTTGCGTAACCTGACCCCGCAGAAGACAGCATCCACTTGCATGGTTCCTTTCCTTAAGAGTACTTTTCTCCTCTCTCTCTCGCTCCCTCTCTCTCTCTCTTCCACGGTTTGTACACCCCTACCCCTGCCTTCGACTTCTCTCACTTTGCATAGCCCCTGCCTGTACCTCCCACATATACACACACACACACACACAGAGAGGAGAGAGAGAGAGAGAAAGACACAGAGTGCAGCTCCAAGCGCACAAAAAAGTTTGAAAAACGCACAAAGTCGGGGAAATCCCTCCTCCTCCTCCTCCCGTGCAGCCTCCGGGCTAAAATGTTTACAGCTCTTTCTCCACTCAGCTCTCAAACACACACTAACTCACCCGGACTCCTATCTCTCAATGACGCTGGCTCCTTCTCTTGCTCTCTCTCCCCCCTCTTTCCAAACTTTTCCCACCCCTCCTTCACTCGTGCCACCCCCCTCCCTCTCTCTCTCTCTCTCTCTCTCTCTCTCTCTCCCTCCTCTCTCTCTCTCTCTTCCTCCCTACTTCCCTTTTCTCTCTCTCCTCCCTCTCATTTTCGCATCATCAGCCAACAACCCCCCCTCCCGCCCCACCGTACAACCCCCATCGCTGAACTAATCTGGCAGCTGGCCGGTCCCGAATTGGAGACCTAGCTTGGCCGGGGAAACCGAGTGTCCTGCTCCAACAAAAACAAGACAGAACGAAGATGCGGCAGAAGAGAGAAAGAAGAAAGGAGGAATGGAGCAGGAAGGGGCACAACTGAACACATAAATAAAAACCTCCTCCGGGAGCCAATTAAAGAAGCCCAAGGGTCTCTCTTCCTCTCTGAATGAGGGGACAACATGTTCATCTATTTTATCTCTGCAAGATTTTGTTTACTGGTTCTCATGTGCCAGCCAACAGCAACAACAACAACTGTAAGTGGTGTGGAAGCACCAGTGCTGTGTGCTGTGTGCTGAACTCTGTGTTGGCAGTGTTTGGGTTGATCACCACTGTGATGAATGATTAACCCACAGGCCCTCTCTGAAAGGCCACTATTACAAATGTATATTTTAAACAGATGAACAGTTTTCAAAGCCTGCAACCTTTATATTGAACATACAGAGATATGGCTTAAAATGATGCACAAGAAATGTATACATTCCCATTTAATGTCAGGGTGCAGCTTAGGTGACATCTTAGATTTTAATATATGATCTAATAAATTTGAGATTCGAGATGGAAACATTTATTTGTTGTGAATATTTATTAATGTATCAATTAGTTGATCAAGAGAATATTAATCAGAAACTATTTCAATAATTGTTTAATTGTTTGGGGAATTAGTATAAGTATTAGTATTAATATCCCCTATTTACAATTAGTAATTTGAGAGGATTTGCTTCTTTTTTGTATTTTGTGATTGTAAAGTGGGTATCGTTAGATTTAGGACTGTCGGTTGTACAAAACAAGCAATCTGAAGATGTCACTTCAGAAAATAGTGACAAATATTTTTCAACATTTTCTGACATTCTGTAGATGAAAGGATTAATCAAGAAACTAATCAATGTTGGATGGATACAATAGCATGACTATCTAATGCAATTCAATACAATAGCCATGCAATTACTTCTACTGTACTTTAGCTAAAGCAATTATATTCAGTTTGAGAAACGTTGATTCAACTCTGGTAGTTTGTGAAGCCATACTAAAGAGGTTTATAATAGCTTTCCAAAGTGTTTGTTCCAGGAAACTTACATTGGGTTGCATTAGATTGTGAATTTGTTTATGACACTTGATGCTGTAAAACAGTGTGGAAAAAAGTATTAAAAATAATAATACAAATAATTATTATGCACAATTTTACAGCCATATTGTTGTTACAAAATAGTGCAGGGTCATTATTACGGGTGCATTAACACACCAGCAGCATTTTAATGTGGTAGTGTAGCTTTTATGTTCTTGTAATTATTTTATACACTGGTAGTTTAATCCATAGCAATGCATCATATTCTATAAACTGATCATATTTATCATATCAATTTTAACTTGCAAAGTAACTAGTAACTACAGCAGTCAAATGAATTCAGTGGAACAAAAGAAATCCCTTTGAACTTTAGTGGATTACATCATCAAATGGAAATACTTAAATGTACAAGTAGGCCTATTCATAACTGCAAGTACTTGTGTAATTTTGTAAATGTACTGTACTTTCCACAACTAAAAGATACACAAATGCAAACACAAGCAAAAAAATATAGACATACATGCATAAAAATGGTAAATACACATTTTTTTTTACTCTTTAGATTTGATGTAAAGCTTAGCATCTCTATGCAAATGCCTGTAAAGGGGCCTCAGCTGCATTCCTACAGTCACTTCACTGAGCAGCCTTCATAAAGTGTCTAACAGCATCACCTCAGCAGAGCAACTATCCCACTGACCTCTGAGCCCAATCCCTGACCTCGCCTTTGAAATGCAAGAGAGATCTAAAAAGCCTGGCTTGTCCATCAATAGCTGTGGGGGGAACAGGGTGGAAGGTGGGGGCTAGTAACATCTGTTTGGCGTTTATCTCACCTTATTGTGTTGCTGAGTCCTCTATCAAGCCTACAGCTGGGATCCTGGGAGCGTACCGAGCCCACTGTCCAAGGGACTCACACCGTGACTGGGAACATGACTGGGATAAGTTCTCAGTCCTTGGTGGCGCATAGTAGGCTGATTGCAAGGCCTCCAGAGGCAGTGACAATGAAATCAAACCCAGGGTGTGTTTTGTTCCCTGCCTCCTCCTTTCCTTTATGACCCAGACACAGATTTGCCCGCCATACCGATGCAGAAAAATAATAAAGCAGCTCTTAAGTCATCTCATAGGAACTTAGTTCAGGAAAACACAGAGTATTCTATCAGGAAGGACTTTTCAATACCACTTCCATTAATGTCCAGACCACATGCTCGCCCAACAACGTTCCTATCAACAACTGATTAACAGCCAGCTAGAATATGTTGTTGTTGGATTCATTTTTTCCAACTTATATAATAAGTCCTGCCATTTTATGTCCTGAGGCCCCATATGTCTTCGTTGTTTCCATTTTGTTGTACATGTTAGAGCTGAAACATGTAGTCAAACAATCAATCAGTCAATAGACAGAAAAAATAACTGCCAACTATTTTCATAGATTGTTTACGACAATATTCATGAAAAAAGGAAAACACTTCTTAAATGGGAGGACATGCAACTTTTTTGTGTCCTAAACTTGGTTTTTGTACTGTTGCTCAGATAAAACAAGCAATCAAAAAATGGCATTGTCATTGTATGTCATAACTTCATGTTTATGACATTTTTTACTGACCAACCAATTAATCGATTAATCAAGAAAATAAATGTAAATAAATCAATAATGAAAACATTCATTAGTTGAGTGTCCATTATTCATTAAAAGCTTTTAATAACCTCAATGAAGGCTGTATAACATTTCAATGAGCCAGGTCCAGGTGGCTCACTGGAAAGGCTTCCTCGGGCACATAATGGAACAGAGTCATTGTTAATGTTAGTAGTTCCACCTCTGCTATGATAAGTCAAAATGTCTGCTGTGAAAAAGGTGTTAAGACAACAACTGTCTCAATTGTTATGCTCACTTTTGCCCTCTTCTTTCCTCCATTCATTCCCTTGCTTCCTTCTGGTAGAGGGAGAGAGAAGGAGAGGAGGGAAGACAAACGGAACGGAAACCCAGAAAAATGTGTGATATGTCTCCATCTGTCGGGCAGTCTCTGCACTGTGCACTCATTTAATGAATACTATATTTATAAAGGGGGAAAAAACATAAATACACAGCATAAATAAATAAATGTAGGAATAAATAATGAAATGCATAAATAAAAACATAAAAAAAAACATTTTGGTAATAAAAAAAGCTATTTTTTGTATTTCTACATGTATTTATTTCTGTATTTCTACATGTATTTATTTATGTATTTCCACGTGTATTTATTAATATATTCCAACGTTAGTAGTATAATGGTAAAAACGGTACAATGGTGAAAGTCACATAAAAGGTAAAAGACATTATGACCTCGCGCCTTTAAGACGAAACCACGTGATCTGGTCGGCGCTACGTCATACCCGGATGTGAAGCGGCTGTCGTTGAATGTTTTCATGGCTGTTGTGTTTCCAGTGGTGATATTCACGAACAGGAGCTCCTGCAGAAACCACAGCTGAACCATGAACCGTCTCAGTCGACAACCCCGTTTCCTCGCGTTTACAGGAAACTAACGGCACCGTAAGTGAAAGGAAAGCCACCAATTTGCAGTGAACTGGTTAACAAAGTCTTGTAGCTAGTGGCATTAAACCAGGTTGCTCCTCTCTTCTAAGGTGGACTCCCCCGCCATAAAACCGTGGGTGTTTACGTGGAGACCACTGGTTTGCTGAGGGACATGTGACCTGGTGACCATGATGGCCTTTGGAGCAAGAGCCGTCCTCCTCAACCTGAGGTACACTTTCCAGAAGGCAGGCTCCTTTACCAGAACCAGACTGCTCCAAAAGTCCAGGACGTGTTTTGGTACAAGAGGCCAGATTTTAACCCAGATACCCAAGGTTACATTGCTATGTTGGGGCGCAGGCAATGCGTCATCCTGTGTAGCCAGATGCCAGGAGGCAGTTCTTCCATCGCCAACCGCTGACAAAAAGTCTCTAGCCAAAGTCCAAGTGCACAAAGTGGTATTTTTCCTCCGCCTCAGCCTCCGTGCGTTGGTGCTGCTCCTCAAATTCGGCCCCCTCCTCCTCCTGTCCCCCTTGGCTCTGGTGTCCACCCGCTGGGCCTCTCTCTGGGTGGACGCTCTGCTGTGGGTGACTGAAACATCTGGTCCCACTTTCATCAAGCTGGGGCAGTGGGCCAGCACCAGGCGGGACATCTTCCCTCAGGAGTTCTGTGAACGCTTCTCCAGGCTTCACGTAAAGGTGCGCCCTCACTCCTGGGCCCACACCAAGCAGTGTCTCCGGAGGGCTTTCGGGGAGGGTTGGAGGAGGGTTTTACAGTTTGAGAGCAAAGAGCCGGTGGGTTCGGGATGCGTGGCCCAGGTCTACAAAGGCTGGGCGAAGGCGGACCACGTGGAGGACCCGGCCTTCCAGTCGCTGGTGGAGGAGATGGAGAAGGAAGACTTGCTGGAAGCCTGGGAGATCCCTGGTCTGAGAGGAGTGGCCAGCTCCCTGTGGCAGCTCTGGAGGGGGAGAAGGGAGGAGGAGGGCTGGAAGGAGGGAAGCAGATGGAGGTGGCAGGGTACATGAGTGATGGGGACATCCTAGGGAAGAACGGACGGATGGATGAGCTCACCAGCGGGTAGGATGACTAGTGCTAAGCATGATGGCTTCCTCTGATGCACTGACTAATTACGAGTTCCTGCTTTAAAGGTCTAATCAATAATTTGACCACATAAATTATAGGTATATTCACTGAAATCAGCAATTTGTGTTTCTCAGCTTATCATTACCCTGTGTTAAAGGTTTCCTTTAAATTAAGTTATCTTTACATTCAATGTTACTCACCAAAACACATTTTGTTTATTCCTGAGGCCTAACAAACATCTTTAGTGCATGTCCTCCCTTATAAAGCATTTGAAAAGACCATTTTTGAGAATGTTTTTAAATTGTTTACAATCACTTTTGCTTGCTAGCAGTCTTGTTCTATATTAGCATATTGCTATGTGCCACCAACTGTCAATGATAGAATGCAAATGCATGAAAGAGAATATAGATGTAAACAGGGGCGTAGTGGGGGGGTAAACACAAGTAAACCTTATCCACCTCTTTGAAGGCTTAAAGTTTAGTCCATCTATTTCCCAGATCCACAATAGCAATCAAATTAGGGGAAGGGGCAAGGTGGGTTAAACTACAAGTTTACCACCTCCCCATTCCCAGAACTCGTACAAATACAGCTAACCATACAGTCATAAGCAAGGCCTTAAATCTTTATTGCGCTAATGAAAAAATTCCATGCAAGAGTAACGTAGCAGGTAAGATTTGTGGTACTGTAGGCCAAATTTTATTTGTGAAACAGGGCCCATGGAACCTGAAATGAAAAATCTTAAATACGTATTGCTTAGACCATAGAACAGAATTGTCAATACCAATTTCCTTGTGGACCCTTTAGTTTAATAGTTTAGGTTTTAGCAATAACCCTACCTAAAACCTCATTTAAGAACACCCACCAAGCAGTTTGGTCTTGGTTGATTTTTTTTATGACGTGTGTTGAGTGTGAAACAACATCAGGAAAGTTCGCAGTTATCTGCCACCCATACATTCTGCTTCTACACAACCCGATCTCCTCGCCAGGCGCATAGGTTAAAACATGGCCTTTCTTAATATGCACTGAAACACATATTATTCATAAGAAGAACGCTGCCTCCCACTAAGATTCAATGACATTTTGTGAGACTTTATAACGCTGATATGCAGTAAAGTTACGAGGCCTTAATATAAAAGATTGGGCGCTTTTACATCATATTATGACTAACCCCTTAAGATACTTCAAGGGGTTTTGTAAAGGATCATTTCCATTCAATATCGCTGCAGCATACTGGGTTTAGTTCAAAAAACACTCCCAATTCACAAGGTTAGCTGTTGTATTCATACCCATGCAAGGCCTTACCCATCTTTCCCTGGTAGGTACCATTAATAACACCACCATAGCGCTGCCTCGATGCAGCACCGAAAGGTGTCATAGGTTTCCATACGATGGAAAAGGAAGGGCCCCTCAAATAATTACATTTGCTTAGGCCCAACACTTAGAGGGGCAACACAATACATCTTGAAGATTTGCACCCTGGGCTCTGAAAGATTTATTTGTATACAGTTTTCTGTGTCTCCACAAACATCACCGCGAGGCAACGTGTGTGTGGGGCTGCCTGACTTCCATTCAACGTCGGATCACCAAGCAAGTAAAAATGCCTTCGAGCGAGTGGGAGGTGTGTTGACAAAAGAAATTCAGCCATTCACACCCCACACGCCTCACCAACCAGCACACCTGCGCCACTCGGCATCCATGGCGACTTCAGATTTCGAAAAGAGCTTTTGGGGACCGATCTGAGCGCGCCTGGCAGATCGAGTGAGGCCGGCTTGTTTTGATGCGATCGAGTGATGGAGTAAGGCGGTAGGATTGCGCGTAGGATTTAAAGACGTGTCGGTAACCGCCCCGACAACGGGTCGGGAGGGAAGATCGCGCTCATCTCTTCACGGCCTGAAATCTATCTGCCGGCTTTTCACAACTCCTTAGGGCCAACACACTCACATGATCTCTTCTCGTCGTGCCGTGATCAGTCAAACAGTCGCTCAATGATTAGCTTTTCAAGGCCTATTCAAATCTAACAGCAAATTAACCTCCACCCTCGCGCGCCTCATCCATTACACAGGATTTTAAATAAATTAAAAAGAAATAGTCAGTTTATAGGATGAGTTCGACAAAACAATACACACAAGTCTAAACAAGTGGCTCATTAATCCACCCAGTATGTGGCAAAAGTGAAGTTACTGTATTCTTTCTCTACCTGGTTCAGTTGACATAATATGTTGCTTTTAATCCAGAACATTAAAAAATACTACATAACTCCCGACTTTTTATGCCAAACTGAGGCTTCTCATAGAACCATACACATATGCGGTGCATAATTCTTCGACATAAGAAGTCTCCCTATCCAACAGTGATAGCCTTACAGACTCATTGGCGGCCATGCTCAATCTGTATTAGACCGAGAAAAAACGACCAGGCGATTGCCTTCAGATGTGGTCTTCTTCTCGAGAAATAGTCCCATGAGAGGTAGCAAAGAGGGCTGTGTGCGACTTATTATGACTATTGTAAGGATGTGAGTCTTCCAATCATGTGGTGCTGCGTTGCTTCGCTGAATGGTTCATGTGATTTGACTTATGCGAGCTGATATATGGGACCCACGCGACAGGTCCGCAAACTCTGATGATCCTCCTGAGGTGTTGTTGAGATTCCCCAGTGTATGAGGGCACAAAAAACCCAGAGTACTCATGAAAATATCGATGATATATAGGACAGGTAATCCCCACCCGATGTCTCTCGCTATACAGCAATTACTACAGTTAACTTCTATACATTCCAAAATTGGATTAGATTTAGTCTTTGGCATTTATAGAACTGATCCCTGTTCCTCCCTCCAAGAAGCACTTGCTGTCTTTGTATAGTTCGACTGATGTATCTAGTGCCCTACAGATTATATTGGCTTTGCTTGCTCTCGCCCATGCTTTCACTTCTTTTCGTCGCTGAAGCACGGTAAGAGATCGTTTGCAAGGGCAAATCCACGCAGACTGTGCTTTGCAGCCGGTGATCGGCATGTGCGTGAAAAAAGGCGGCAGGTGTGCTGTTTGCGCGGGTTAAATAATAGCGCGATTGATTGGCACGAACCAGGTTTTGCCATTGACTTATACCACACTAAACTGCAAGCAAATGTTCCGTCTTAGACGTAGAGTTGATTATATTGAGATGTAGAAAGACCGCAAAATACACCCAACTTTCAACACTAATACATAACATGGTGTGATTTAAACGGCTACCCCCACCTCTATAAAGGCTAGCATCGAACCCAGACAATCAAGGCAGTAGACATATTATACTATGCACCGACATGCTATTAACACTCCCCATCACACTTCTTTATTTTATATTGGCCTACACTCTTGACTTATAATAACATCTATTCGACACCTTTCACACTATCATAAGGCAAGGTTAATTTCTATGACAATCAATACATAGCTGATAATTTATATCGGTCGTGGGTACAAGAGGTAGCTTTGTACAGAAGCACTGACTTTTACCAACAAGTACCTAATTTCATGAGGATGAACAGGGGTCAGTAGCCCTCGGACACAGGTTAGTGCTTACTGATTTGGTTATAATGCCAAATCCGAGTGGTGGAGACAAGCAGACCATACTACGCCTTTATGAGTTAAGAGAAAAAATCACCGTCTTCATTTTCCCTTTGACAGTCCGCGGCGTATGACACACCACCACCACATCAAACGCGCTACATAATGGACTTAGATAGCCATGTAGGTGTTAGGCCATTAGGGAAATCTGACTCCAGGTTAGAGCTAGAAAAGACGTTGGATCATGGGTGTCAAGCAGATTTTTAAGCGCTACACACGGTACAGAACCCTCATGTTCTTAGACTTCGCAAAAGCAATAGACTATCACTCGGCTCTATATTTCCTAAATGGTCAACGAAAACACAAATACCTTCAAAAGCTTTAGCATTATCATTACCAGGAGGCCTCACAGGTATATTATAAAGGCTTACACCGAAAAAATAGCGATACACTTTATATCATCGAATTAGTTTGAAGAGTGATTGATTCAGAGTAGCGCCACTCCACTTGAGTTATCCAACTGGATCCATTTTAATCCACCGTTCGTGACTCCACACAAATTAGAGGTTCCTCCTAAATGTTCACCACGACGCCGTTATACACACAGGACTGGAGATGAACAGCTGGGGAGGAAAGATTAGTAAAGCTTTTCATCAATACTGCCTGGTAAACAGAGGTTGGCAGCACACAAATGAGAGTGTTTGGTAGCCTTGGTTCTGATTTTGTGTTCTGGGACGCATTGTTCTGTCTGTTCAGCTGCCAAGGGGTGTCTCAAGGCTTCGAAAATTGAGCATGCGACACGTGGTGCTGAATCAGCTCTGGGGTACATCCTCTGGGACCAGAGGGAGTCGAGGGCTCGTGAGGCTGAACTCTTAGCCAGTCTGCCCTCCAGCAATGTTGGATTGTTGAAAATTTGTGAAAAGGAACGACGCGAAGCAAAGAGCCCGATTGTTAGGTCCTTCTCGTGCACCAAGGCAGCCAGATCAACACATGTTGCACAGCACAAGTGGGAGCATCGAAACACACGGACAAGCCTGGATATGTGGAGAAGATAGATAAGACTCAGCCATGGCTGAAGAACTGCCCCAAGGGAGGGAGCATAATATATGGACAGTGAGTACGTTCAGGGGTGGCGCACCTAGTTGGAGCAAAGGGACATGATGCAGGCAGGAACTGAGGAGGACATGTAGAGAAGGCAGTGTTGTGAGGTGGGGCTCATTGCCAGGTATCTTGTCTTGGTCTGTGTCCGTAGTTAGGTACGAGGATGTGGGAATGTTTGGCCGCCTGTGAAATGACATTGTGTCAGAAATTCTTGAGCATGAGGCCGCAGGATCTTCCAGAGTTGAAATGGACTGTGCAGCCTAAAGCCTTGGACGACCACTACTAGTGAGACTTAAGGTGTGTTCGAAGTCAGCAAGACCCGTGAAGTTGGTGGGTTAGGGGTTAGGGGTGATACCGTGGAGTCCAGGGGTCCCGACAACACTAGACAAAGGAGCTT